TGAAATGTCACTGTGAGACATTATTGAACTCCAGGGCAGCTCCCCTAAATTAGTGTTATAGCTCGAGTTTATTAACTTATCCTTCGGCTTATATTCAAATTTTATTACTCGTTAAAAACGAGCATAAGACTATTGGAAATGCTGCAATTTTCCCTGTTACAATATGACTGCTGTAAATATTACTTAATATATCAATTTAAAACAACAGTAGTTTATAGCTACAGTACAAAAGCCCATTTATCTTTCGGGTAGGACTTAGGAGTTGAAGACGAGCATTGGGTTAGTGGAAACACTGCATTTTTCTCCTCTTGCAATTTAATCGAAACATCACTTAGCTTCCTTGCACTAAATGTAATAGCTGATACTTAAAGGCATATCATATGGCATGTGTTCGTAACCTGTTACATGTTAAAAATCGGAAAAAACGGATAGTGGAAATATAGCATTTTTTCTTGTTGTAATAAACTTTAGAATAAGGAAACCAAGGGGGATCTAAATACGACCTGACATAATAATGCTAATTTGCCGGCTAGCGACAGGCTTAAGTAACAATATATCAACTTACATAAAGAACCGAGTTTCAATCGACATCACATCGATTTTCAACCTGGTAGTCTGCTACCTGAAAATCGACGTTGAGGTGGGTCGCAAAGTCGGTCATTAAAAAATCCATACATTCTTGGTTAAGCGTGTCACTAACTATCGAATCGAAAAGAATTATCATGAAATTGAAATTTTTAATAGAAAAGCAAAAGTTTTAAAAACTATATGATATGTTAAAATATGATATGACAAAAACTATATATGATAGTGGTTTCTACAGATTCCAAGGACTTAATTGAATCGCTACTTATAATGATCGGTTTCAACAGATTCGAAAGACCTAACTGAATCGCTACTTATAATGATCATGCGAACAACAAGCAGATCGCTGATCCGTAATATAGCACCGGCAAGGCGTGCACCATTTTTTCTACCTTAACGGATTGTAGACCTTAATATACAATCGAATCGTGAAATAATTAGCAATAAAAAACCCGCCAAAAGCAAGGGCCATTCCAATCATGGCATGTAAACCGAAGAATAGAGAATATTATTAATAACCGTAGTATTAAACTTGACCTGCAAGTGCTGCTGGGCCACCGATCACAAACTGCACACAGCAGTGTCGCAGATTATTAACTAAATTTATTATCTATCAAATTGTGCTAGGACATCAACCTTGTTCTGTTGATGGCAGTTGCAAAACTGCCGTACTGAAACGGACTTATCCCCCAAAAGTGATAACTGTGGATCAACAAGATATATCACTGGTTACACTTTACCAATAGAGCCATGATCGCTTTATAAGACGCAACAGCCAACCCCCAGACTAACTGTTTAACTCTTCGGTTACTCAACATTTTATTAATCATTGGACAAATTACAATGTGAAATGCCGATTAACGTTACTGTCTTCAGTGAAAACCTTTAGTCAATGTACATCCCTGCAGGCCTCCTTTCAGGACATAATTCCGCATAATCCGTATTTAATGAAAGGCTCAAAATATTGTAAGAAACATCAGCTCTCCGAAATTTCTTTAGCAAGCTTATTGTACTATATGATGTTACTTTGCAGAGACTGGAGTGGCTGTTAAGTCAGTACAACGCTGAGCTCAAAGTTGAAAAATTGTGAGTTCAAGCCTCAGTCGAGTCAATAACATTTCTTCCGTTCAGGAAAGATAAAAGATTATTGCAAGAACGAGGCTACATGCTACATGAGGCACATAGGTACAGAAACTGTTTAAAGCTAGGCCGGCATGGCAGAACGCACGGAAAGGCCATCAGATAGTGCACAAAACATCCCACCAACGGCATCGATCACAAAAGTGTATGGGAAAACGAGATGACAACAGATTGCTTTCTTTTACCATGATAAATGACAAAAAAACAACCGAACAATCAAGCGTGGCGTTTTGTTGATTTCGGGCATCCTCAAAATAAAACCATACAGCACGTTTCTATTTTACAGATGAACTCTAAAAAGTGGATAAACCATACAAACGGCATAATAAAAGTGCAACTGCGGATGTTTAAACTATAATTTTCAAAGCAAAATCACAGAATACTAACTCCGTCGGTCACAACCTCCACGCAAGTCCATATTATTTTGAATAGACTTACCTTTTGAGAAAACAGGCTGCTGGCCCGTCAACTGTTCAAGAACTTTCGAAGCCCTGGTCAGTCGATCGCCCGATTCACCAACACAAATATTCAAGCACAGCTTCCTAATCTTTAACTCCCTCATGGGATTTTTTGCCTTGCGGCTTGCCACCGTTTCCTCCTTGGTTTCCTTCAAATCATATATTTAATAACCAAACAAACATTTCAATAAAATACCACTTCAGGTTCATTCGTCACCGTCATTTTGCACGCCAATGCAGTACTTACAGTACGATGTGAGCTGGAAATTGCCTTCGTATCGTTAAGTCTGCAACAACACGTTTACCTGGTTTTCATTTATACAGTACGAAATTCTAAGCTCGATTAGTACGCTGCGGGATTACACCGAATTTAAAATAAATCATTTGCAAGTTGTCCAAACGTTTTTGATCATGTTCCATCCGACTTCAGGGAGCGACATTTTAAGAAAACGGTTTTACAGTAACTGTTCGTGAATTTCAATACAAATTTCAAGACTTTAGCATCGAATATTGAAGTTGCTTGCTAACTTCGTTCAAGTGAGAACTTAGTTCTATAACGACGTCTTTATCCATGCATTGGTTTGATGTTACCACTGATGTTGCTTTTATCTTCCAATTTAGAGAGTTCCGCTCTCGATGCACTTCTTTCACACGATCCCATAATATGCGTTGCTGTTCGTGAACCCCGCGTTGTACATATATTTGAGTTCTATTCAGTTAGAAACTGTTATGCAAGTCATAGTGTCATCGCCGCTTTTCTGCAAGATAGAATCAATGAACTCCACTGTTGCAAGTCCCAAGCCCGAAGGAGAACGAAGGAGGGTTGGAGATTGTGGCAAGGCTTCCGAAAATCTTTGTCACATTCCCTTGATGAGGTTGACATCATAGAAAATTACATCCGTACGTTCGTTGCCCATGATTGCACAGACCGTCCAGGTTATTGAAGGATTGATGTAGTCAACGAAAAGACGGCGATAAGAATTTATTCGTTGATTTCTGCCAGTAGGGGACGTAGCAGCACCTCAGCAGCACATCGAGGAAACGACGACGAAGATACCAATCGACAATGTAGTCACTACCCGTTCTGAATGGAGAAGGCAGACGGTGCGATGCTATTA